CGACGAAAGTTTAGGTTGCGAAGTTTTCCACTATTGCCAGGAAAATGCTCGTCATTCCTGGATTTGTCCTGAAGGATTTACGTTCCATCAGGTAAAGACTAAGTGGTTTTAAGAACATAAGGCATAACAGCATTAGTAAAAGTTACAGTACGTAATTTTTCACCATTTTTCCTTTTTCAAAGTGTATAGGTATACATCGAAGACGCCATCAACATCATTAAAGACAGTACAACTGTAGGGATAGATGTGCGAGGGCAAAAGATTAGTATGTTTAGATTTGCAGATGATATAGCAGTATTAGCATCTAGCAAGGAGGACCTAGAGATAGCTTTAAATAAAATGGAAGCGGTACTGACAGATCAGTACTGTATGAAAATAAATAAAAGTAAAACTAAAATACTGGTATGCAAGGGAAGAAAAAGTAGGGGGAGAGCGAATATAAAGATAGGAGACGAAAAATTAGAAGAAGTGGCTGATTTTAGATACCTAGGAAGTCAGATAAGTCAGGATGGAAGGAGTGGTAGGGATATAAAGCAGAGGATAGCGCAGGTCGTGTCGCCTTTAATAAAAAGAAGTCACTTCTATGCTCGCGAACGGTTAATTTAGAAATTCGAAAAAGGTTGTTAAAGGTGTATGTTTGGAGCACGGCATTGTACTGGTGCGAAACATGGACAGTGGGCGCGGCGGAAAAGAAAAGGTTAGAAACTTTCGAAATGTGGTGTTATAGGCAGATGATGAGGATATCGTGGGTAGAAAAGGTTAGAAATGAAGAGGTATTGGAAAGAATAGGAGAACAGAGGACTCTATGGAAGTCAATAAAAAATAGGCGAGATAGTTTGGTAGGACACCTTCTCAGGCATGAAGGTCTAGTCAGAGACATATTAGAGGCAGAAGCAGGAGTTAGGAGGGGTAGAGGTAGGTCTAGATTAGATTACTCTTCGCAAATAGTTAAGGATGTGGGCTGTTCTAGTTTTAAGGAAATGCGAAGTTTAGCTCAGGATAGGAAAGAGTGGAGGTACGTGTCCAACCAGTCTTAGGACTGATGACCTTATGATGATGATAGGTATATACACTTGTGGATTGTGTTCTATTGGAAAGCAAGTTTTCTTTACTGATTCCATCAATTTATTTTTGTTTTTCTTTCAGTTGCATTTGATCTGTATGCCACCCAGCAAAGAAAACATCTGTACGGAATCATCCAAGTTTCACATAGTTAATGATTATTTATATAAACCAGTAAATTTAGAAGAGCATCAGAGAAAGCCAAACGTAACACTTCGATACCACGAAAGGTATTATCCCGAAGAATACCATCAATACCCAGAAAATGACTACGATGATGAGCTCCAACAGAGAAGACCGCACGTTTCGCCCGTAAGTTAATTTAAATTTCAAATAATTCAATTAAAGGCCAAAGATGTAGTTTTAATACCCAGTTCTACAGTTGTTTATGAGGCAATGTTATAAATATGCATCAAAAGAAGAATTGCATTGAAAATCATTTTTGCAAGACTTATTTAATCCTTAAAATTCAAGGCATCTAATTATATGTGTTGTATTATAAATGGCATAACAATTTGAAATTCATCGTTGCATAATACCAAGGACAGAATTTAGAACTTTCACTAAATTAATATTAATTACATTTTTTTATGGTAACAATACAGGATGAACTTGCCTTAGAAAATTTTGAGACACTGGCCTAAGTTTGTTAAGGATTTCGAAATTTCTGTGCATAATTTCTGACATGAGTCGTATTCTACAAATATTCTAACCTTGATTGTATTAATTAGTAAAAGAACTCAATTCTGTTACTATTATTTGAGGATTGAATAATTACTATTTAATTTTTTTGTACTTCAGTTTTACTAAAAAAAAAATCAGACCAAAATCTGAGATATTCCATGTTGACTTATTTGTTAATCTTTTCTGATTATCCGACAATTTTCTGGGAAATGGATAAAAACAGCGAGATACAAAATAATTCACTTAAAAAAAAGTTTTTTACCTTTATTTCTAGTTATATTATAAGGGTTGTAATATATGCTGCATGTTCGGTTGTCTACATATTACATTACTAATTTGAGTTCAATAAAAAACATAAATGAATATTCCTAACTACGTCTTCAAGAAAAAATAAAACTTAAAGATAAAAATTTATCGATATACTTCAATGAAACCGTATATCTAACAATATCAGNATTTAATAATTGGCACTCTTGCTTGCAATATCTTTCGAACTTGAGAACAGCCAGGCAAAAATAAATGTATGAAATCCCCTATTGTTTCCATATGCCTTTGAGATGTCAATCGTTCTGACGTTCCAGATGCTTTACAATGATAGATTAATCGATTACCATCTGAAATCTAAATTTAAAATAAATAATCATATGGATATAAACATTTTTATCTGTAAATATTTATTACTTTATCCTTAGTCAATCTTAAGACAACATCCAAGTCACAGTTCATTTTACCGAAACCATTAACACAAGAACCAAACGGGAAAGCCACAGCACTTGGAAATATACCAGAAAGTGCTACCTCAATCTGCCTGGCACTTAGAAATCGTAATCTTACTCCCAAGTCATTTAACGTTGTTGATTCATATAAAATTTCAATTTGTTCTGAAATCTAAATACACAAAAATACTGGCTAATAAAATTTCTTACACATGTATAAACAAACAAGTTACAAGAACTTACACTATCACATGCTTGTAATTTACTCCTTAAATTTTCTTCAGATAAAGGACAATTCCCATTTTCAATTGTTAATACCAATTGACTTGTCTGCTTCTTAACTGAATTATTTTTTGAAGCTCTAAACCACAAAAAAGTTGATTCAACAGGAACAATTTGTGAATCTTGAATATGTTCACAGTCCATTTTTTAAAGAAGGAGAGTGAATTTATTAATTAAAAGTTTTAATGCATAATAGAAAAGATTAAGAGACGAATATTTAGAAATTGTTTGACTTAAAAAGTCCATTGTTTTAGACGAAACAACATCATACACAGGTGGTTCGTAGACCCACCCAAATCCCTCAATTCCAAGCTACAATTAGGCCAGAAACAAATATAGGTCAAGTTTATAGGTCACCCGAAGATATCAACATCCCATTAGAGCACAGAAGGCCTCCACAGTACTTCCCCCAACGATATTTGATTCCTGAATAAGAACATTTTTCTAACATTTTTTTTCTGGTATATTTAAAATCTAACTATATTTTTATTTATTCGAATTTTTTTGTAGATAAGATTGTTGTCATTATAATTTAATACAAATAACATTGTTTTTTTATTTTAATAATGCAAAATATATTTAAATTTTAAACTGGATGAGAAATATTAGAAACGTTAGAAAAGTTTTTAATGAATTGAAAGTGCTTTCATATTAAACTTGTGTCTATTTGTTAAATTTTTGTGAAAACTGCATCAAAATCGAGGGAAAAATAACAAAATTATCCGTATTTTAATTTTCCTAATGTTAAAGGAAAAATATGTGGCGCCTAAACGTCAATGAACTTTCGTTTATTTGACCTAATTTCCTATTGGCTGTTTCAAGTAATCGCCATTTAAATGCATCTAATTGCATATAACAATCAACCTTTGCATTCCTATGTCAGTCATCCTCGGTGCTTGGTGAAGTGCATTTGCTTGCGTTCTAGTTTTAATTAAAATTACGTAAATATGCAACTTTTATTTTTTATAATCGATTATTTATTGTAGTATCTATAAAGTAATACTGTTTTTAAACAGTCTACTTAAAAAATTGTAAATAGTTAAAAGTTCTGAATTAAATAGTACCTATTACAATTTAGTCTATAAATTTAGCAGAATGATACTTATTACTAAAGAAGCAGATAATATTTATTTAAGTAAGTGTGTGGTAGTAACATTGATTTAGATAAAGTAATTTGAAAGGTAAACTTTGTAAATTATTATACTCATAAATAATTAAATGCAATAATGGTAATTTTTTACATTAGTTGACATTGGAATTGAGACATGAAGTTTAGTCAGGTAGGTAGTACTCACCAAGTGAAGTAGTGTAGTAGTATTTACTAGAATTTTGTTTATTATTTGTTTAAAAATGAATGTGAGTGAGATACAGGCCCTTAAAGTTTTCTTAATCGGAGGAAATACCGGTAGGTACGGCCCTGGCTTCAGCCTTCCGTCAGCTGTTCCCGCCAAACATCGTTTGTCCTAAAACATATCTTCCTAACATTATTCTAATGTATCAGCCCGCCTTCGGCGGGCAGGGGCATTAAACAAACTCGAGTCTGTCATACATCTACCTAACTAAACAATGACGTCATCAATGCATATTTGGCGAGAACAGCTGACGAAGGGCTGCAGCCAGGGCCGTACCAATCGAAATTTCCTCCGATTAA